TGATCGTGATTTATGCATGATTGGAACATGAACTGACGTATCCGGAGTTTGTTGTCAAAGAAAAGCAACCCGTATTCACGGAATCCCCTGGGAAGTCTCAAATGTGAAAGAAATCTCTTCACCATTTGTATTCCATCTCAGTCACCGTTTAGAACCCGGGAAAAGACTGTAGTTTCATTGAATACATCAAGATTTCAATTACATTTTGTGTCCAATGATTGTGAGGAGATCATGCAAGCCTGAAACCTACGCTCTATGTTGTTTAGCTTTTACTATAGAAAGTGTTCCGAAGCAAATAATACATCAGGTGTCCAATGGATTGATTTTAGAACCAGGCAGGTTTTACCCATATCTTTGAAATAACCCTCGCACCTGTTTTTTCTGCTCAAATCCCCAGTTAATTCAGTCAACCACTGACACCGGAAGCATCATAGACGAAATTGACTTTTGTTGCAGCGCATCCGAGGTGCACGTACAAAATCCTAATCACGATTTTCCCTCCTCTACCACAGAGAGCCTGTTACCGCAATAAAAATCAACTCATCTTCGGACTAACCAGAAGAGCGGGGGCGTGGGCGGGGTGGAGGGTAGTGATCAGGTACTTACGTGACCAAATTATCACCCCGGAGGACGAATGTTTGAATCCCATAATCACAACCTAATTTTCCCCATTCTGTGTTGTACGGCAGCCCTTGGATTAACTCTCATCCCCTTTCCTGATATTTGTTTCAATAACTAATGAAAAAAGGAGGTAAAAAAGAAAAGGAAAAGGAAAAACGCTCACTCAACTTCGTTCAGATGTGGTACACAGTTGAATCAGGTAGCAGTTAAACCAAACATCTACAGAAAGGTAGATTGGCATTTTAGCTATGCGTTAGTTATTACTAGTCACGCATATATAGTCAGTCTACAGAAATGAGGACTAAACTATCGTTCTCAGACACATTTTGAAGCCACGACGCATTGAGCCATTTGGATGAATTTAGGGGCGACCAATGTATTTGCTATCCGGTGAATAAACATTTGCTTGGCTTCCCAATCATGGGAGAACACAAGAATACACAAAAAGAGTGGAGTATGTGAGCAGGAGTTTTCGTGTACCATTGCATTTCTTAGATCAGCATCTCAGTCTATTTCGGCTTCCATTTAGGCTTTTCAGATGGTCAATGTTTGGAGTAGCCCATTCGGATTTTCACACCCACCAGGCACCCTTGATGATGTGCGGTGTGGGTTTCACTCCTTGAGAGATCGTTAATTCTCCACTATTCGAGTCCTGACAAGGAAACGAAAGCACGCACTGCTGACGAGTCCCTAAACAGTACAAAACAGCTGTCCAGTGCTCCATTTGGGCAGTCTGTAACCCGTTCGAACCGCTTTTGTGATCGTGTCAAACGTGTTCATTCATCACCAACAGTAGTGTTGCATTCACATAGGACTACGAAACCGATCTACACCATGTGTTTGTTTCTCTGGTTGGCGTGTTACAAACAGATCACTGGGTTCGTTGGCCGTTCAGTTCGTTTGGTTTGATCTGACCGTTGACACACGCCGGAGGAAACTGATCTCTTTTCACGGCAGATCCGGTTGGATAGTCAACCTGGTTCGGCTCTCACAGTTGCTATGCCGACAGTCATCCTTGCTCTTATTCCATTCTAATAGTGTCATCATGCGTTGGCATTTCTGGCTGTTATTATCACTTTTCATATTCTGCTGTTTTGATAAGTTTAAGTTCTGTGCTATGAATAGGTGAAAGCTCTGAAAACCGGGTTGGGTCTCAAACTCACACAAGCTGCATTCTAGGGTTCAAATTTCACGTAATACTTTTGTTTAGTCTCCTCTCTTTCTTAAGCTGTATGAATACAATTGAAGATGTTAGGTGACAATCATTTTGAACAATATTACTTTGGAATTTCCTTTGTTTGTAGCGGGATTCTTCACAGAAGAAAATTGCGTGATCCATTTTGCTCACTGACCTATCACCACAAACGGTGGACAACCGTGATTCCCTTTTGGAGTTGAGGGGAGGCGGATGAAAGAAGAAATTATTCGCAGCACTGGAAATCGAAAAATCATTTTTCCTATTCAATGAAATTGCACAGTGTTTTTTGCGAGACGAGTTAAGGAAAAATGGGGACGAGGCTCTTGTAAAGGGGTTTTCCGCATCCGATTCTGAATCGAGGACGAACGTATGAATACCAAGCCAGGTTTTTTTCTGCTCCAAACAAATGTACTCTGAAACACATGACGCGTGCAGTTTGCTTCTGATTTTGATAATGTGAACAAATTATATGGTGTCAGTGTGTATATACCTGATACGGCGCACGTATCAGACACAACAACATACTTCATCATTACTTGCGATTCAACCACTTTAAGGTGGCACAGACAGTGATAAACAATAGATGGGGCAATCGATGGATGGAGCGGACGGGTCGAGGAAGGCAATACAGACACTCTCTTAACAATTTGCGTGAGCATCACAGTGCAAGCCTCGGTGGTTTTGTATCGTGTTGTATTTGTATAGACTTTTTCTTGGACAGATGTTTGCATTTCAGTCACAACTTGCACATAATACCACTGAAAGATGGAAATAATACGAGTGAATACTGAACCTCCAAAGTTACTGATAAATTCAGAAGAAACGTGCTATTAGTTTACAGGGATACTGGCAAAATAAGGAAGTGTACAATTTTTGTGGAGAGTAACAAACGATACTTAGAACGAATGGACGGATGATATTGACATTTGGGTAGATCAACATGTGGAGGATGATTGGGATCGGATATGATTTTCTGTGCAAAGTTTCACATACGGACAAATGAAGTTGATACACGTTTTTCAGATAGATTATCAACAGCAATAAATGACACGACTGATAATCAAAAGACCGCGACGAATGATTTGGAAGTCTCTCTTAAGTAGATCAACAAAACTCACCGGGAAGCAAGAAGCAAGCGGAGGGAAAACAAAATGATAAACATAAAGAGAAATTACTTTCTTTGACTTTGAACTCGTTAATCTTTCGAAGTTGAAAGGATAATCCGTGAAAGTTCTATATACGTTTGCATATCAGGAATGCATGTCTTCTTTGTGTTTCCGACATTGGGAAATCCTAAATAGTTCACAGAATCTGTCCTAATCGGATAATCTGTATTTATTACCAAAGGGGAATAAATGAAAGATCTGCTTGTTCATTGGCGTTGAGTTTTTTGATAGGACAATAGTAACTGAAATTGACTCAGACACACATTATTTGGCACAACACACTAGTTTTCGGTGCACGGTTGGGGAAAACTGCTTGGAGTAAATGGGTTATATTTTTATAAATATACACAATTAAGTGACACAAATCAACCTAACAAAATGATTAAAGTCGATCTACTTACGCACCATCTCTCGAGGATCATTTATACGGAACTCTCACAATCTTGTCTTCATATTCTGTGTGTATTTTGAATCGAAGTGTTCTGGAATGTTTCATTGGGGTTGATTTCACAACAGATACAAAAAAGACTGCTGGCGAAAATCATTATATTACCATTTGGTCACAGTTCTCCTTTTTGCGCTTATAGTATACCAGTCCTCTTGAGAGGAATCCAAAGGGTGGGAAAGCGAAAAATTCAACACAACTTTTCTTCTTGCTTTTTTAAATTAAATCGATCAAATTGCCACACGTACAGACAAGCGGTTAGCGGTTGAACGTTCGCGGCTAATTAGGTCGAGTGTTTTGTGCGCTATTCGGGTTGGACAGGCGTGCGCACCTTCATCCGGGGCTGCGGTGATTTCAGATGAACCGCACTGCAGTAAAGGAAACCGTTTGATCGGTGGTTCGCCCGATCCAGAAATTTACTGTTGGTCTGGAGTTAATGGTGCAGCAAACTGAGTTGAGCCAAGCAAATATTTGTTGCATTTTAGCCGTCACCGATTACGTGAATCAGACTCAACCAAAGGTAATGCTTTACTCTTGTGGAATGATATCAAACGGTCAAGGAAGGTATAAATGTTTAAGGGGAATGCGTTTAATTTCGTGAACTAGAAAAACCCGAAGAAAACGATATAAAACCTTTTATTTACTAAACATTTATGCCTCTTGATTTGTTTTGTGAAATATTTTCTTTTCATTGAAATAAGTCCCTGAACTTCACCCATTTGTAGACATGAAAATCTGAGATTTTTACTCGTATCTGATTTATCAGCACCGTTGGTTTTCTCAACTAAAGGTCACTGTGGGGGTGAAAACCAATTTCAAACAGTTTCGCGCAAATAGTACAAATATTACGAACCCGAAGAACGGGAAGTGAAATGTTTCTGATTGAAATAAGTAGTTGAACAGATTTCCAAAATCCACATATTGGTTTGTCTGTCAGGTTGATCATATTATGAAATTCCTAATCAGCTTTTTTAAAGTTGATCGAGCACATTTATTTACCGAAGCGATTAGTTTCAATTCACCCATACCCGAGGTAACAAACAGTTCATCAAAGATACGCTCCACAGATTATCTTCACTGATGGCTTTCAGTAACTACACTTTTGTTATATTCATCTTGGAAAAAGCCTTTTTTGTATTAAATCAAATCACGTAACATGCACTGTTTTTTACTTTGTACGGTGTTAAATAAAATGCTCTTTCGTTCATGAAACTTGACGTTGATGGGACCTTTGCATTTGGTGACAGTCATCGAGTACCAATAGGTAGGTGTGTTTATCCTAACCAGCATAACGCTGCATGCGATAATCAGGTCTTGATAATGGTACATTGTTTGTCGTGAATAATGATTGTTGGGAAAAGTAATGAGATGTTTCGATTTTCAATTTTTTTTATAAAAACAACTCAATATACTGAGAGTAAGACACACAAACAAAAAGTAAATAACAAATAAGAATCTTATACTGAATGGGGCCTTATCGTTTGTTTTTCAGGGTTATGCGTTTGCTCAACTGAACCGTTTCACGGTTCTTTACATCGTTGCGGGATACGGGGCAAAGTAAACACAGTGATCACACAGCACTATTGTAAGCTTTTTGATCCAAATCGAGCGATTCGTCAACCGAGATCACGTCGAAATCACTTTCTTGATACGCGATTGGGGAAAACAGGTGGGAACATGAGCTGTACGAATCTGTCGGGAATGCGGGAAACGCGGTGAATGCCGGACTGGATACGCTTTCTCTTGTTTCACACACATTGTTTGGACCAGGACCGATTTGGGTAAGTGAGTGGCCCTTAGTTGCCGGGCCCTGATGCGAATCGAACTTGATGAACGTTTTAGAACTGTGTGTCAATGAAGCATACTGTCCTTGGGAATGGGCAGTTTTGGTTGACGAGCTGTTCGGATCTAGGCCGGAAGATGTAGCATAATGCAGGCACAAATCACGTTCGACCACAACTTTTTTCAGGATAGAATCGTACGAGTAGCACGCTTTGTAACTTTTACTGATAAACGGTTTCCGACCAGAAACAAACTGTATCTCAGTGAGATAGTTTCGGTGCTGTATTGGCTGTTCACTTTGAACTCGCGTTGTGTTCAGTCGATGGTTCCCGTTTGTGTTGGAACAATTCGTCTGATATGTGATGGAACGTAATGGTCGATTAGGAAGACAAGTGTGCCTAAGTGTGCGAAACAGGTACGAGCATGCTCGTTTTTCATCGGGATTTGATTGATGAGACGTTGAAACATAGTCTTGCAATATCCCGTAAGCAACTGGTGCGGAAACTGCTTCAGATGGATAGTCCATAGGGTCTAGTTGATAACTTAGACCTCTGCTCACACGACTGCAATTGCTCGGAACAAACATGTTTGCAGGCATGGTTTGTGATCCTTTTCGAACCGGATGTTGTGTCGTGGACAGGCTTGTGCGTGGACGATGCGGAGGTTTGATACTGGTGTGAATACAACATGGACAAACTGGTCTGAGCCAGACGCGCAATTGCTTCCGAAAATGTTTATTCAATATGAGGTAGACGAAAAAATTCACTGCATATGTGAATAGGCATGATGTGTTTGCCACCGCACGGTAGATTTGATATGGACGACAACAGTATAGGGGTGAGCAGGAATTGTGCAGCGGTCGGATGAACGCATTGTAGATTTCCACATAAGCAAACGANTGGGGAATCTGGCCAGCAACAAACAAGGCGACAATCACAATTAGGAGTATGGTCAATTTGAGCTGTGCTGTTTGCCATCGGGAACTGGAACCGCCGTTCACCATCGGATTGCGCACATTCTGTTTGTGTTTCCCGACCAACTTCCGTTTGTGCGTTTGTCGATTCGTTCGATCGTACGAATCAGCCGGAATCCCGGCCAGAACTTGTTGTCTACGGTGTCCGGCCAGATGAATGAATTGAAATAACCGGAAATTGGCGATACATAGAAACACGAGGGGCAGTATTTGCACGAGAATAATTTTGAACCACGTGAAAGCTTTGTAGAACTCGGACTGTCCGAATTGAGTCATTTCAATGCGAAGTTTACTGCTGGTAGAAGGAGGAGGAGTGTTGGTCGGGTATTCACCGGTCAAGCTGGTGGAAGTGGTTTGATTCTGATTCGTGGGGGCGGTGTCATTCCGCATTGTGCTGTTCACCATCACCGGGCTAGTGGAATGACTAACATCTTTGACTGCTTGAGCAAAGAAGAACGGGACATTTAGGACTATGCTCAACACAGTAACAGCAATAATTGAATAGCGTACATCTAGTTTGCGAAAAGATACTGGTATACGGGGACGACATCGGGGACAACTGGAACGGTAATATGTTTGTTTCGTGCCATGCCACATTCGTTGAATTCTTCGCCCCAAATTCCATGCCCTGTTATCTCTGCTGTTCTGATCCGATGACTGTTTCAGAGTAGTCATATCCATATTGATCTGCTGCTCCAAAACATCTGAATTATAGTCCTGAGAAAACATCACTGATGTTGGTTTCTCGCAGCAGGCGGGTGATCGCTTTTTCCGAACACGGAAACTGACGCCAAGATGACGCATGGCCATGTAACGTTCGATCGATAGGAGCACAGTGAACCACACACTGGCTGCCTCGGACATGTTGTTCACAGCAAACGTCACATAGGCGTTATAGTAAAAAACCGCTGTTCTGAATGCTTTGAACGACGCGTTTTGGCAGTACGGGAAATAACCTGTACAGCTGAAAGGAGAAAAAAATAATTTTATGGAAAAACCCGAGGCAGACGGGAGAAATAAAAAGAGGGATAGTTCACACCGAAATACGGTATACACGGAAATTATATATATACAACATACTTTGAAACGAATGTTGGTCAGATATCACCCGGCATTGTCAAAACTAACTATGAACGGATACTTTTCTTCCCAGCCTCGGTCCATTTCAATGCACACAATACAGGGTCCAACAGGGCTCTTTGTACATCTAATGGTGTGTATGCGTCTCTCTTTCTCTCTCTCTTTGTATGTGTGTGTGAATCTGTTTTCGACGGGAATACCGCATGCTGCTGCTTTGTTGTTTACACGAATGATCGGTTTGAGTTTTCGGAATCTATAGTCAAGAGTGTTGTGAGCACATTTGGTTGTCAAGGTGATCGGTTTACAATAGATAACGATCAGACTTGAGCTGACCCTTTCAAATTTTAGCATTGTAATGCATCGCGAAATAAGCAGCCCGGTTTCTATCGTGTAAGCACAACTATTAGCAACGTAACTGAAAAGCGGTTTTCTAAGAAACAAATATTAGTTCAATTATAATAGAACTTGCAAAGGTGTTTCTCCGTGAGTTATTATTAAAATGGATAAAGTTAGAATGCCATGTGTGATCCACACACATACGCACGCACCCGCACGCACGCACAATGTTTTGCTCTTAGTTTGCCATGCGGAAAGCCACGCTAGATCAAATTGATAACTCCAAAGGGGGATACGTTGCGCTAGAAACACTGTGAATTGCGGACGCTTTCTTTCCACGTTTATTAAACTTTACGTTTGTGATAGGTTTTAGAGCTTTCTTCTATCTACCTGATCAAATTATTCCAGGAAACGAAGTTTTCCGGTCCGCTATTATGCTCAAACGAGGCAATCAATCAAGCTCTGTGTTCCTCCTGCACGTTAAGTTTGTGTAAGCGAATTACTCACCAAATGCGGGATATAACGGTTTAAAGGCTTGTGTGTAAGTTATCTAAGACTAATGCCTCCAAAGGGTCCACCAAATGTTTATTCAGTTGGTCTGGTTTAAGTTCCCGAAATCACATACAGTCAACTTGTCTTTCACAGATAATTATTGTAAAAATGATCGCCCCGCAAGCCAGTAATTGTTTCCACTGTGGTACTTGTATCGGCCGATTTCGTCAGCTGACTCGGTTAAGATATGGTCTGTTTCCAAAACGATCAGTATGGCCCGGACGAATTCTGACTTCGAAGCTTGCATGATGGATTCATTCTTGTTGTTGAATTATCCTCATCAGGTGCACAACGTTTTACTCTTCCTAAGTTGATTGATTCCCTATGTCTAGACTCATGGTATTGTTGACAGATGAACTGCATATCGTCAAAGCAGAGATAACTGTCTGAACTAGATCGGGATCAATAATCGAGTGTGTTCCGTTCAACGGATGGTAATATGCTAATCAGCAGCATCAGAATTTAAAACAAATTGACGGCCCATTAACTTTATCTGCTCAAACAAACAAATATATGCACTTCACCTTGGATGAAGGATGGTTCTGACCGGGACTGGTTGCATCAGTAATTCACGAAACACTGATTTTGTCCGGATAATTTAACACCAACAGAAGAGGATAAGAACTATCGATCCAGCATGTAGGTGTTCTATTTTCGATACTATCTACCGAAACAGATATTATCGAAAAAGCGACCAATTTAGCTTTCTCTTGTCTAGAAGAGTACATTTGAAAAAAATTGAAGAAAAAACGTGCATCAGATTATTCGTGAGTTTCAGTGCATCCCGAGGTCGCGCAGCGTAAAAAGAGGTAAACGCAACTGTTTCAGTTTGGTCCAAGATGTATTGCCTAAAAGGTTATTGTTCTGAAAAATACTAAAACATGTATTTTACGTTTTTCCCCTAAACATATCGTTCAACTTGGTCAGTTGAATTGCATTCTGGTGTGAACTCCCTTTTAAAGTGTACTGGGGAATCGTAACAGTCCTTTGTTTTTTATTTTATTTTTAATTCCACTTCTCTTTATTAAATATATAATGACACAGAATTGGGAAAGTCATGCAGTGGTGGCGCTGGTGGTGAACTTCGAACACGTCCTTCAGGGCGATAATTTGGTAACTTTTACCATTCTACCAGCAACACAATCACCACTCCCCCCCCCTCCCAAGTTGACAGAATGCGATCAGTTCCTGGTTTGTCGGCGTACCAATTCATGGGAAATCACACTCCTCCCGCGCAGGATGTTCTCAGCTAACCATAATGGAAAGGCTTCGCACTGATTTATTCCCCAGGTTTTTCCACCTGCTGTACACGAGAGAGAAAGATCTCTTCCGTTTGAAGACCTGGGAGAGTTGCAGGCTTCCACGACAGTTTAAAGCTTTCATTACTGGACAAGTTCATACACATTTTGCACCTTCACGTTGTGCAGCTGCACTTGAGAGTTTATACCCGTTATTGTCAAGTTTTCTGCTTCACTGAAATTTGTGAAGACAATGAACTGTTCCTTGACAGATAGGCAGTTAAAGTTTGAATCAAATGTCCACAGGCATGAAAACACTGGCTTGATACTTGTCAACCTGTCTAGTTACCTGCCTTTAAGCCAACCTTTAGGGAAACGGGTTATGCGGAATTCGATCAATTCGAGATTTTTTAACATTTAGGCTCCGAGCAGGTGACATGTGACCTTAGACTAAACAATGAAGCAGGGTTTTAGATAATTCTCGCTGTGGATCAAGGCAATAGATCCTGCGTGACTTTATTTACGCGAGAAGATTTTAGTACATTTTAAACCGTTTAATTAGTGTAATCAAATTACTGATTGATAACATGTATTTTATTCAATATTTGATCAAACAGGTTGCAAAAACGGATGACTACGACAAGTTAAACTGAACAACTTGAATACCAAATACTCTAGTCAGAATGATGGACCGCTGTATACTCACAGCAAGGAAAATCGGGAGAGAATACTTTTAAAACGTTTTCAATCGATTAGATTGATCAGACCGAAACAGCGTAGTCACTGTCTCACGTGGGAAAACCCCGGAGTTCACTCATCCCCGGCAGAATACCGATAAATATCGAGTTCACGGAAGTGAACTGTAATCCATTACTGCTGCATGCTACCGCCTGATTTAAAATAACACGAGAAGTTCGGTCACAGGATATAGATTTTACGGTTTCCTGGGTTTTACAGGTTATCAATTACATAAATTCAGCTCTCACATACATGAAGGGAAAAAACTTTTATCCGAGTGATGGAATTCATCTAAAAAAAGATGCAAGGTAGTAATTACAAGAGCACTTCAATTAGACTTTAAATCCTCAAAGAGTTGCTTCATTTGGAAATGCCAGCTTGCCTTCTTTGGTACCGGATTCTTTGCATTTACTGAAGTTACATCTGAACGCCCCCATATAAGGTTCACTCACCCGTTGACAATCGATTTCGGGACCAACCCAGGTTAGATTTTCTGTTTTTTGCTTTCTCCTGTGCGGTATAAACAAATACACACAGTTTTCCGCATTGAAATGGTTTCTTGAGAAAAATGCCGGTACTATGCATTAGAACGTACAACTTAAAATTGTTCAATGTGAAATGTTAAACATCATCGCGTTTGCCTTCCATTCTATACGACAGATAATTACTGCAAATTAGTTGCGCTAAAGGACTGCCGTTTCAAGAGGGAGTTTGCTCAGGTCAATTGAAGCATTCTTAATGGCGTAGCTTTTTGCATGAGGAGCTCAGTATGTGACTACAAACGACTCACGCAAAATCTCTCATTATAGTAAGAAGCATTAAAACATATATTAAACTAAAAATGAATATTGACTTTCAAAATTCAAATATCAGTTGTGTGGCTAATTGAGTAAGCGCTTTGTGATGTCACTATGCCCAAACTCATTGAAATCTAGGAGACTTTTTTCGGTTTACAAGTGGGCCAGAGGGGAAACGTATTCGAGCGGCAAACGGATCTAGTTTATCTGTCCCTGGCGTGTGTAGTTACTCCGATGTAAACAGAAACGCAATTCATCTTAAGGAAATTTATCCAGCAAATCTGAGGAAGAGAATCGATCAAATCGGAGGAACGCTATGATTTCATTTGATCTGTGCTGAGAACAGTTGCGCACAACTAAAAGTGAGAATAATCCAAGCGGACCAGCGCAAATTCCGTCTGTCACCGTTGGGAAAACGACCGCGAAATTTGAACTGCAGTCGTAATCAGTTGACGGCCAGCCGTTACTGATTTTGCCCATTAACCCTAAATGCGTTACCCGTCCGTACAGGCGTTTGGGTCCATTTCAGGGGGAACGGTTGATCGTTAATAAGCAATACATCAGGTTGACAAAGATGAGCTGTTGATCCAGTTGATGATGTGCTGGTGTGGGTTCCATTCCAAACAAGTACCGTTCAACTTTGTTGAGGAAGAGGACTGTCGGACCATCGTGTAGCTCGAGGAAAAGGCTGATGCTTGTCAGCCCGAATACTCGCGGTTCACGTCTTGGAGGGACCACAAAACTTATGCACTACTGACTAGTCCAAAATAGGACGAAACAGTGATTCACTAATCTATATCGTTCGTCACAAAGGGTTCTGCGGAGATAAGACTCAATGTTTACTGTTTGCTTAACGTTACGTAGTTCCAGATTGAGCAGTTCCAAATTCGAATCACTGCAATTACCGTCCAACTGATTGGATCTGAATGTGTTTCAAAACATTTCCATATGTTGAATGCATGGATAAGTAGTCATCAGGGGTAGGATGAGGCGTTTACTGTAGGAAACTGATAAACGCCATTTCAGTGTCAAGGTGGTGGAATCCACACAAATAAGACTGGTGCAACTGCTCAGAAATAAAAATGGGCACACAGGGCGCTGGCAAAACGTGTTACAAAACGTGGGCCATACTGAAGTATCATTAGAAATGCAGATGATTTTTCGGCAAGTGATTTTGATATGTTACAGCTGATGAGTCCACAACGGTCGTGTATCTTCATCAC